CTGGGCAGCCCAGCTCCAGGTTGAGCTGTTGTTCAACATCTTAGCTGTGGAGGGCAGTGTCACTGGCCCTCATATGTGGGATCCGAACCCGGGCCCTCTGGCATCCCAAGCGAGTTCTTAACCATCGCGCCACTCGGCCGGCCCATGAATGAATTTTAAAATGTATTAAAATCACTATTACATTTGTATATGTGAAATATTATGTAGAGTGTGTTTATAAGTGTGTGTAGATAAATATTTGCTATATGCTAATAATATATATGCTCACTTTTCTCATTAAATCCACACCAATATTCAACATAAATTTATTAATTTAAGAGGCAACAGGAGTTTCTTGTTATAATTTATACTGATTTTTTTCAGTAAAATTATTTTTTGGCGATAAATCTAACTATTGATATTTATTCTGTAAACTGTCTTTATCCTTCTCCCAGTTATCTGCTAGAATTATGTTTCTTTCAGATTGGTAGAGATCTTAATATACTGAAGATATTATCCATTTACTGCAGATATTTTGCCAGTGTGACATTTGTGTTGACATTTGAAGATTTTATGTAGTTGGATCAATTGATTTCTATTTTTTAAGTTGTATAGTCTGCCTTGTTAGTGTGCTAGATTAATGGTAGGAATTCTTTCTTCAGTTGGTACTCATGAGTAGTGAGTGTACTAGACAGTTGAATAAAGTTTTATTCATCTCAGTCAGTATCTTGTATTTCCTTAATAGTCTCCTAATTAAATGGTAATTTTGATAAATAAATATCATGCTTTGTAAGCAAAGTAGCTCAGGGCTATTACAACAATGAGAATAACTTGATAATGTTTTGTGGTCTCTGTTTTACGAAAATCTACATTATGACTTTAGGGCTTATTTCACATTAAATAATTTTATTCCTTAGAACACTTTATTTTTGATATTATCACTACAGAATTAAAAATCACTGAAATATTTTGGCCTTCTGTTTTTTATCATTCATTACAGTAGATTAAAGATACGCTACTGGATTTCTTCAGCATATTTTCCTAATAAACTAGAAGTTCAATAACATGCAAATAAAGCTTAACACAGTTTAATATCTATTTAGTTTGTTCTTAACAAAGAACCGTAAAGCTCTGTATTAGCAGACATTTTTTTGTCACACAGTGATATTAAAACATCTTAAGAACTCGTCACCATTGAAATATTAGCTATTAACTCAAGTTTATCACATCATGTATATTCATTTATTCATGATGGCTTAGTGCATTACTATTAAAACATACATTTCAAAAGCCTAATGATTCTTTAAAAGAAAGGGTAAAAACGTCTGCCACGTAAAATAAGTACCGTTTAATTTGCTGTAATTGTTGTCTTGTCTTACAGCTCCTGGGGCATTCAGAATGGGACCACAAACGAGGGCCCCGGGGATCACAGGTAAGTGTCCTGTCCTTTCCTTTTTGTTTCTTAACACTTTGAGCCATGAGATTTCTAAAACTTAAGAAATAATAAGTAGAGAGAGGAAGAGGCAAAATAATCATGCCATTTGTTTTTAGTTAAGTTAGCTATAATTAAAGTCTGGTTTCAAATCCCAAAGGCTGAGGCCACTATATTCCTTCTAAGAGCTTTCTGGTATCCCAGATTGGCTGTGTTTATATGAATGTAGATTTTATATTCATCTCGTCTCTGCAGAATGCATTTTGATCAGCAACCCACACTCTTGATTTTACTCACTTCCTTTGATAATTTTTTTCTATGTATTTTTTTCTTTTCTCTATCTTCCTGTTTTTGGTTAAATATTTTGAAATATAATCAGAGTAAACCCTGAACTAATTACAGATTTTGTCTCTAAATTAACTGTCTTCGTCTTAGGGAAATAGAAAGATGAAAGGACCTATTATTTTGAAAAGAAACAAATTCTAAACCTTTCTATAGTACCAGACTGTTTTCATTGTCTTACTTTATGTCTTAGGCAAGGAGAAAAGCTTCCATGACGCATTTATGCTTTTTAATGACTTAATTAGACAATGTGGATTTGTTTTGCTTCCATAATTACTTTGCCTAACAGAATAAAGGCTGAGTTTTATCCTAAGAAAATGACCTCTCCTCCTAGGATATTTTGTGAAGAAATATAAAAATTATTTATCTCATAACAGTCTGTGTTTACCTGACTATAAACATGCCAAATGAAAATTAAGTAGGTGGAACCTTTTGACGTCTGCTGCTCATGTTTTGTATTTGCACTAAAAAATATGGTTAAAAGAGAGTTAAAACTGCAGTATGGTAAATGAAAGTTCATTGTGAAATTTGAGATTCTCCCAAGTGTTTTACAAAATTGACGTGAGCCTGTGCTGTCATTAAGTTTGCATGGATAACTATTTAATTTAGGTAACTGGGAAAATAAAACCAAGCCTGTCAATTGTTTTTAGTTGATATTTTAATAGCTATGCTTTTATTTTTTTGGCCATTATCAATTTGATTGCTAAATAATATAAACCAGTCCAATTAAGATTATCCAAAAGAATGTATGCCTTGCTTTCCTTAACTCTTACTTGCCTTCTTCATTTTCTCTGACAGCTCTCCCTCTGTACACATCGATAGTATTTTTTTTTTTTTTAGCTGAGCCATCCTGCTACCTGTTGGTAGCTCAGCAGCTGCTCAGCTCAGGCTGGGCATCGAACCGCTGATGCTCAGAGCTCAAACTCTTGAGCGAGCTCTTAACCAACTGAGCCACTCGACCGGCCCCACATCGATAGTATTTTAAATCAGAGTTTGCTGAAAGATCGGTAATGCAATGATGAAATTAATACATGGTAAACGTTTTGTGATTCTAAACCAATTAAGAGTAAAGATGAGCACGAGTTAGAAATTCCATGGTTTCTGATTATTGTCACCAAAGACATTTTGATATTCACAACATGCCAAGCAACTATCTGAGGACATATTCCTTCAAAGTAATGTAGATTTATATTTAAAAAAATATTGTTTAAAGTATGTAATATTTACTCCCCATATGACCTCTTTGAATATAATGTATCTTCAGGTTTGGATTGATCACTCTGTAAATATAAATGGAAAACAAAAATTGTTATAAAACGACATCGTTTATATTAACTTCAAACATAGCAATCCCAGAATGAAAATGTTAAAAATGCAACATATTACACATATCCAGAAAACTTCAGAATCCTACACACACAAAAACAGATATGTTCATAGATAACATTTGATTATATTTGAAAGGTTAAGGTGGTTCCGAAAAACATTAGAACATTCTTGCATCAATATCCATTATCAGCATCCAGTTCTTTCTTAGACCTCTCAACTAGCTAAATAAGTATTCTAAATGTAGTATACCTTTGTCTCACTTTGATTCAAGTCATATAAAAATTACCAAGTGAAAAAGCAAAATACACACCAAAAAATAAAAATGACAGCTACAACAGAAAACTTTTTTGGGGGAAATTTCAGGTAAATAAATTAAATATTAAGTAATAACCTCTTATCTAATTCTAATTCCCATTAGAAAAGACACTCTATGTATGTTTTAGATCATTGACTGATCTCTTCTTATCTTGCTGTTATTTCCTTGGACAGTATGTCTAAAACCTTTCAACTGCTCAAAAGGAATTTCAGACAGACTGCATTTGAACACAGTTGGAGATAGAGCAATACTTGAATATATAATTTGCATATAAGACAGACTGGTAGGTATAATCTTAAATATATAAACAAAGTGTGATAGGTGGGACAGAGTATTTACTTTTTCCTAAAAGAACTGGGAAGTACTTCTTAGAGCTGATGGTATCTAAGGTATAATAAGTAAAATTATTTTTAAAAAATTTTACTATTTTTATTAAATAGTAAAGATTAATATTTTACTAATACTTTTTTTTTCCCTAAAAGAACTGGGAAATACTTCTTAGAGCTGATGGCATCTAAGGTATAATAAGTAAAATTATTTTTGAAAAATGTTACTATTTTTATTAAATAGTAAAAATTAATATTTTACTAATACTCCAAGGATTTGCTCAAATTCCATGTCAGTTGAATTTCACTGAAGAGAAGTTTTAAGCACTTACTATGTGCACAGCACTGTGGTAGGTCTAACTTGGAAGAAAAAAATGAATTATAAGATTACTGCTTTCCAAAGCTCACAAGTTTTGGTTGGAGATAGAGCAGTACTTGAATATATAATTTGCATATAAGACAGACTGGTAGGCATAATCTTAAATATATAAACAAGGTGTGATAGGTGGGACAGAGTATTTATTTTTCCCTAAAAGAACTGGGAAATACTTCTTAGAGCTGATGGTATTTAAGGTGAGCCTTCAAGGATGGGTACAAGTTTCAGAAGTGCAAAAAGGGAAAGGTGGATGAAAAAGCTTGAGTAAAATGTCTGAACTGGCCATTCATGGGACACATTTGGATGCATGTGAATTTTCTTTACAACTGCTTTATAGGTACTTATTGACTAGGGACTGTCACTGGAACTTCTGTGAAGGAATAATGCAAAGAATGTCATACATTATTGATCAGATAGGAGGGTCAGGAGTTTGAAACTGAGTACTTGAAGGATTAGTGCCATTGACACAGACCAGTTTAAAGAGAAGATGATGTGTTTGGTGTAACAGTGTTAAAAGAGAAGTGAAAATGACAATTCCAGAAGGGAATTTCAGAGGAATACTTGAGGTACTGTTCTTGTGCTGTGCAGCCACAATAGAGCAGAAGATGTCAGTTTGGGAATACTAATCATGCATGTGTTATTGAACTACATCAATAGATAGATCCTGGAATAACAACATTAAAAGAGAAAAGCAGAAGAAAGGCTGTTTCTTGGAGAAGACTTAGTGTAAGAGCTGGGAGGAGCCTGGGGAGAGAGTTGAAGCATGAACGCCGACTCACTAGACACCAGTTAAAAGAGAAATGGTGCAGAATGGAAACTAGTGTACCATCAAGTTACACCGAGAAGAGGGCAGAGACCACACACAAATGTTCAAGAAAAGAAAAAAAAAAAACATGGGAAATGCCTTTGGATTTAGTGATTAGCAGGACATTAGTGAATTATGAGAATGCAGTTTTGATCAAGAAGTGGTCGGAAGCAGAATACAGAAATTCAGAAGTGAATAGTCTAAGATAGTAGAAAGGTTTCTTGGGGAAGTTTTGTTTTAAAAGGTAGAATTAATAGGTGGCAACAGAAGTGAGTGTAATTTATTTTTATGCTAAGGTGAAATGCTTGTCTTCATGATTATTAATGGCAGAGGAAAAAGTATCAGTGTAGAGAAGAGAACCCTGACAATTCTCAGTAGTGACCTGTTTAAGGACTGAGAAAATAGTGTGGTTTGGGGAAGGGAATGCGCTTCCTTCCAAAGTGGCCCTTTTGATACCTGTTCATGTGTTTTTTCTCTGTCTACCAGCCCCCGGCCCAAAGCCTTTCTTTCACTCTAGTTCAGAAAAACTGACTATCTTCTCAAATGAACTACTGGGTAGATACACAAAAAAGTACAAATGAAGAAGCTTTGGAAAGAAAGTAGAGGTATCTGTACAAGAGAAAAGAAATAGGCACGGATATTACAAAGTGAAAGAAATACTGCGAGCCTAATGACTTCCATTTTCTTGGCAGATCACAGATGTGAGGGGGTGGAATGCAAGACAAAATCTAACCTATTTTACTTTGATTCAGAAAATACCAATATATGTCAGGCATTTTTTTGAGCCTTGGAGCAGTCAAAAAATGAACCAAACAGCTTTGGCCTTCAAAAAGCATATAATTTTATCTAAAGTTAGCCTTAGTTCAGAGGATAAAGAAAAACAATTAGCTCGTACTGAGGGTATTAATCATTACCAGGATAGAATAAGCTTCTCCTGGCTTTCCCCCTACATGCTTACTAAATAAGAGATTTTTCTCAAATTTGACTTAGTCCTCCGAAATTGCATCATATGTGTATTATCACAGAGGATAAGAAGGTGTACCTATCATATCAAAGGTTTATCATTTAGAAAAATACATATCTTGCTGCAAGTAAATTCCAGCACTTAATTGAATATGAGTCTTTGGACTCAGCAAGATTTTAATGTAAATTGATTTATTTACTCTATTCTTAATAATTTTGTGACATAATTTGTCAGTTCACTCTCAGCTTTCTGGCTGATTTTTCTTTCTCCCTCTTTTTTTTTTTTTTAAGTATGTTCTCTCAAATAATACATCATCCAAATTAGGGAAGATGCGAAAAGATAAATAAACTTCCAGCAGCATGCAGAACTCCCTTATCTGGCAGTATTCCCAGTAATACCAAATGAAGTCAGGGGATGAAATTCTCAGAAGGCAATTAGTTGTGTTTTTTTTTTTCTTTTAAATTCTTGAAGAAAAGTTTCCCAGTGGGAAGTTGAGAGAAGCAATAGAAAATTGCTCTCCTATGAAAAGCTTAAAAGTGGTG